TGGTGATGATTGCAGTGATGTTGATGGTGGTGATGGCGATGGTGACCATGGTGATGGTGATGATGTTGATGGTGGTGATGGTTTGATGATGGTGATGATGAGGGTGATGACTATGATGGTGGTGATGCTGTCGATGGTGGTGTTGGTGATTGTGATGTTGATGATGTTGGTAATAGTAAGAGCTGTTACGCTGAATTCCTACACTGTTTTAGGTACCTTCATCTTCTCTGACTCTGCACCCCATGGCTATGCCCTAATTTCACTTAACTCACACTCTTCCACTAGCCAGCAAACCTTGAGGGAAGTACTCATTACTTTTTGCTTCCCCCTAGTATGCAGGGAGAGCTTGACATATGTTTGTAAATACAGGGGCCTGGGACTGTGTTTACATAATGTTTGTAAATACGGGCGGAACTGCAAATGATCCTTTCAAGACGGATTGCTCTGCTGAATGGGCGCTGAAGGGAGATTTATCGCTGGACAATGTTCGACCACCCACAAGACTAGAGAGAGGCCATCTAGAGGTGGGGTATCACTGAGACCCGGGTGCTCTCTGTGCCAGTGAGCACAGTTCTGTGTCCTCCTTGTAGGATGGGTGGTATGCAGGGAGTTGGTTTGGGGCCTTTTGCTCGCTACAAGGGCCCGCCAGCCATGGGGCCGTGCTCCCTCAGTCTGGTCTGACTTCTGCTGCTGCTGAGCTCACTGTCCCCGGCCCACTCTGGCTCTCCCTTGGTTTCAGCCTGTATGTGGTGTGTTTTTTGGATTATACCCTTTTAAGTGGGGGAAGATGTCAACTGATGATCTCCCAGTAACAAAAGAAATGACTCAACCTGTGAAATTCATGATTCCATGGGTGGCAAAAAGCCAGTTCTGTGTTTCTTTCTTTCTTTTTTTTCTTTTCATACCTTGAGGGCTCTTTGCTTCATGTTGTCAAAATACACTATTCATGTTACATCAACCTCCACCCCGCCATGACAGGAACCTGGCAGGCCCCGTTCTGCTTGCAGACAGCGCTGTGGCATTCCCGCCAGGCATTTAATGTCCCTCCCAGACTCGGCACCTGCTCTGTTAGTGCTAACCCATGGCTGATAACCTGTGCATCCTAAAGAAAGTTCAGAGCAATGGAAATTGTCGGCTTTTAATAATTGATCATGGAGAGCCCACTGATTTAAATTGTGTGCTAAACCCCAACCAAAGGAACCAA